AGCATGGGAAAAAATAATTAATAAAGTGAGAAAACACTGAAGGAAAATCCTGTCACTGATTTGTAGGCTAAGAATGGGTAACAAAAGTCTCTTACTTTGTGTACAGTAAAGGCCAGTCCATCCTGGGGTACATTTGCACTCCCCATCATAGGCACTGCAGTAAGCTCCATTATGGCAGTTGCACGTGTGGATGCAGTTTGGTCCCCAGTGGGAAGGTGGGCAAGCTAAAACAACCCAGAGCAATTAATTAATCACAAATGACAAAGATCCTTGGCACCCATGAATAGAGTTGCATACATTCATATATGAGCACTGCTTCATTTGCAGTTTGCTGTTCTTCCTTTAAAGACTTCTTTTGGGGATGCTCCATTCTGAGCAAATAGCCACAGTTTATTGTGTTTTTTTTTTAACTAAGGAATAATTTTGCCCTAGCTAAAACGTGAGGAAAAACATTAGAAGTGTGAAAGAAACCAGTAATACATACTTGATCCTCAGTAACTAGGACACACATAGAGAAAGCCATGTAAGTTTCCTTTTTTAATGTAATTTTTAATCTGCAAATAGTTCTATGGAGCACATTGAAGGGGACAAGCCTTTTAAGCCTCCAAAGCAAAGTAGAACAGAGAAAGTTGAAGCACAACATACAGACTATGGCTTTAGACCTAATACTTAAGAGTCTACATCATTGTTTATTTTTGATGCATTTAATCAGGGCTGTACCTAAATCAAGTTAACTGAGTTGCTTCCATTTGTCCATTATTCAATCTAAAATTTCTAAAAAGCAAGTAACTACCAATAGAGATTTTTTCCACTTAATAACATCAACTGATTATGAGATAGAATTTTACTGACTGCTTTGAAAATGTTGTGTTGAATGACTTTGAAATATGTGCTGCCATTAGAGTAGTGAACTGGTTCCAGAATGCTAATTACTATTCAGAAACTGCAGAAGATACTTTTCTTGATGTCAGAATATCACTAAGTGCAGAAGATACCATAAGAATAGCCCCTCACTGTTGATTAGAAGTCCCATCTTGAGGTTTTTATTTGGTGGGGTTTTTTTCAGTAAAAAGATGCATAACTTAAAAAAAGTTCTATGGAAATTGAACACAAGTATTTTGTAAGAGAGAAGAAACAGGTCAGACAGCAAAGCCTTAGCTTTACTCCCACATAACTTTAAAAAGGCTGGTAACTCTTTATTGTTGTGTACTGATTTCGTTGTCCAGAGATCTGTTTAAAGCTCTTTAATCCCTTCTATTTGTGCATAATTATTCATCTGTGTGTTATCTTTGCCCAAATTAAACTTCATTGACAAATATACCATGTTGAATTGAAAAAAAGAAGCACTACGTTTGTTTTTTGTTGTTTTCACTTCAGTTGTGCCTTATAATGTTCTGTGGGGTTTTTTTGCTTGTTTGTTTAAAATTAGTGGTCAGCTAAGGTGGAATGTAAATCACATACAGAGGAAAGGTCAGAAGTTTCAAAAAGGTTGCTAGTTCCAAAAGAAATTCATGGAATCATTATTTTGCATGTGAACGAAACTCCTTTATACAAAGCAAATAAACTTCCTCTTTTACAGTCCATGAGCACAGCCTCAATAGACACTTCCATTCATATTGCTGGCACTATTTTCTTGTTATTGATTCAGTAAGTCCCTCCTCCTCCTAAATACCCTTATTCTGCTACTCTCCCAACTACCTACTTATTTTACCATAAAAACAGGAACCTTTGTTGCTACTGGCTTCCACAGGAATAGGGTGAAGATTTATTTTGGTATCATATTGAGTTGTGCATGCTAATCACTTCACAGAATTCAGCTAGAGAAGGTTTTTTTCCAAGTTGACCAGCTGTTACATCACAGTGGTACAGAGCCAGTTAACCTGGACCAGTCAAACCGTAAATGATATAAACCAATGAGGCATGTTATTAGGAAATGCACCTCCCTGGAAACCTGAAATAGCACAATATCTTCAGAATTTTGACATATCAGGATCTGGTGCAGATTCTTTTATTAAAAAAAAACAGATTGACTGAGATTTTGTCATGTGTTACTCTGGATTTCAGTACCTTATGGAACAGCACATTATTCCTGTGAGATTTTTACTTCAGATTATTCCTTTACTGTCATCAATCATTTGCATAGACCAGGCAAGGCATCTGGAGAATGGCTAATTGGTTAATAAAACAACTCTATGAAATAAAATAAAATTAGGGCCTATCCCTTCTCCTTTTTAAGTAAGTAACAAAATTTCAACCGAGTTTATGATACCTAGACAATACTCATTGAGTGAGGCAGAATGACACTAAAAGTAAGTTATCTGTGAAACATTTAGAAAAGGAAGAAAGTTATAAGCACTTTAAGAAGTCATCGTGAAAAAATTCTTAAGAAAATGTTCAAATGTTTAAGAAGAATAAGGATGGTCCTGCATCCAAAGCACTAACTTGTATCTGACAAAATCTTGTCTTTGTTCCTTGCCAGTAGCTCTCTATGCAACTGCAGTGAGAAAAAAACATCCTATATTTAAGTGCCTCAGTTCCTTATTTGTAAACTATTATAACTGCTATTCATAAGATGGTCCTGAGGATACAAGCCCTGTGATGTTCACAACACTACTGTGATATGACTAAATAATTACAGACAAGCAAACAAGAGAACCCTCTCTGCAGTGCAAGATTCATCAAGTCATAGGCTTTTTCATGTTGGAAGAGACCTCTAGAGTTACCTATTCCAATATCCTACTCAAAGGATCTTTACAAAGATAGTTTCACAATCTCTTCCATGCTGGACACTTCACAGCCTCTCTGGATAGTTGCTGTGCTTGACCACTCACGGTTAGGATTTTTTTTTTTTTCTTGTACCTAGTGAAAGTCACCCTTGCTGCAACCTGTGAGCATTGCCTCATGTCCTTCGCAGTGCAATTCTGCAACAAGTCTGATCCAGCTTCTCTGCAACTCTTCTTTGGGCAGTGAAAGACTGAAGATTGATCCTTGCTGTTGTATGCTCCAGCTTACTCATGAGAAAAAGTTGTTGTTCAAATGTGTTTGTGATAGTGCCAATTAAATGCAGAAAAGTTTAGGAACAATTCATTATATACCTCATTTCTGACTTAGAAAGTGTTTCTTTACCAAACGCTAGACAATTTAAGTAGCTGAACCCTGATTATTTAAAAAACAAAGGAAAAAAAGCTGATACTTACGCTGAGAGCAGTCACTCCCAATCCAGCCAGGGTAACACTGACAAGATCTATCAATAGGATTACATGTTCCATTATTGGTGCAGGTGCATATTCCAACACAGTTCTTGCCAAATCTGCCACTGGGACATACTGAGAACAAGTTGTCAGAATTAGAACTCCTTAGTAATCAGAACAAAATTGTAATTTCTTTATTCCAAGAGAAAGCAACTGATATTTGGATCAAGAAATATATAATGCTGAAGTAAGGCATTATGAATTCTGATAAGCCCATTATACATACTCAGTAAACAAATAGTAGCTTTCTTACTTAAGCATCAAATGTTTAAACAGCTTAAACATGCTTAAGACTCCTAATTTATAAACTTCACATGCTACAACAGAAACTGTTTTTTGTTGTATAATTTCCAAGTAATAGAACAATAATTATTACAGTGTTTGATCTCTGCATCCCATAGCAACTTTATTATAGCTTGTACCTTCGTTACAGAGGGCTCCTGTAAATCCAGGTAAGCAGTCACATAAGCCAGTAATATGGTGGCAAGGACCACTGCTGTGTACACATTGGGGACATGTCTGGCTGCAGCGGTGTCCATAAAACCCAGGGGAACAAACTGGAACCAGAAAGAACAAACTGTCATCGCTTCCTGCACTTTTTGTGCAGCGGTGAATCACTCTTCAATGCACTTGCTCCTGACTTTCAATTAGATCTGCTTTCTAAATGCGTAAGAGTTGCAGTGGCGGTTGTTATTGGTACAGTTCAATGCTTTACACTCACAAAATATTTGCTTGTCTTCCTCAATGGTTTACTATATTACTATTAGTAATGACTTAGTTGACCATTTATTACTTGTCAGGCCTCGCTGTACTTGGGTTATGTTTGAAATACGTATATATTTTATGTCTTACACATACTTGCCTATATATTGTATGTCTTCCACAAAATGAAGAGCTTTTAAATCATATTGGAAGAAAATTAATTTTTTAAAAATAAGAGTGGGCAGTTTTATTTCTAAATTAGTAGGGTCATCTTATACCTTGACTCCTTATATGTTTCCTAACTTGGAATACAAATAACCATTTCTTCACTGAGAAAAGTGTACAAATGTTTTCCAGGCATGCTTTCATTTAGGTTCTCACTGTACTCATTGCATGGTACAGACAGCTACAGCTACACCACCTAACTTTTAGAGAACCTAAGACCAGAAATACAGAGTTGTTCATTTAATTATTATGCTAAAGACACTAGTTGCCAAAAAAAAAAAAAAAAAAAAAAAAAAAAAAAAAAAGGAGGGGAGTGGAAGGAGAAAGGGGG